CTGGGCACTAATCAAACTTTTTAATATGCCGAGCGTGCAACGTGTGGCGACTTTTGTTTGTGATAAAACAGTGCACAGCACGAGATAAGCCAAGTACATACACCGCTGCTCACAGAAATATGTACACCAACAAAACTTATCTTTAAATGCTTGTGCCAAACTATGCTGAACAAAATATGCTGGTAAGTTGGATAACGAGGCCACGAACAAATTGGAACGAAATACGTGAAGCGCTGACAACTAAACCCGTGGAATTAATCCGCAGCCGGCAGCGGAAACTGCACTCGATATAAACGAGAAGCTATATGCCAAGTTTGGCTTATCTTATAATGTTCTCTTATAATTTTCGAGCTATGCTTAAAACATGAATTTCAAAATCAATATGCAGTTCTTAAGATCAGGCAGATTGAGACAGATTGAGGGAAATAAAAGCATGGCTGTATCCACGAATATATACACTTAATGGAATCGGAAATGCTTTCTGCTGCTTATTTGCACAAAAAGCTGATGTAATTTTTATCTATTTTCCAGCCAACTGCTATTTTAAATAAATATTAGCATTTAACGAAAGGTTGTGTTAGCATACCTATTTGCTTGACCATGGGTGTAGATGTGCATGTATATATACATTTAAAGTGTGGTATAATCAAGCATAATAAGCGAGTGCAGCTCGGAATACATATATAGACATAGATATAGCCATATCATATACAGCTCATGTGCTTGGCCCCATCTGCGTTTTATGTGTTAGCCATGCAAAAGCTGAGCAGGATGCGAAGGCTCAGGACCTCGCAGCATAATGACAAAGCAACTGGTCTGGCTACTAAGCTGCAGCTTGAGCTCTATATACATCTAGATATATATCTACCTATGTATAAATGCGCTCTAAATGCAACAGCACGAAATGAAATCAAGTGCATTTATTTAGCTAAAGCAAAAAATGAAAACTAGAAATGCCTCAATGCCTGCTGTGTGTGTGGGTGTGTGTGGTGTGTGTGGGCGTGGTGTGTGTGGTGTGTGTGGGTGTGGTGTGTGTGGTGTGTGAGTGTGTGTGGGCGTGGAAGATGAATGATGCCAGCGACTGTGGCGGCGCCGTATGTTGCACACACAGTTCTGCCTCCCGTTTAGTTGCAAGTTTAGCAAAAAGTCAAAATGTTTGCGCCTTTGTATTCGCATCAACATTTTAGCGTGCGAGTGTGTGTGTGCGAGTGTGTGTGCGAGTGTGTGTGTATTGGAAAAGAGCAAGTGCTAAGCTCCGCAGCATTGGGCCAAAGCCACGTTGCTGGGTGAACAGCTTGAAAAGGAAAATTCTCGCATAGGCCTCAGCCTCAGCCTCGGCCTCGGCCTTTTCATGGAAAACTCATTTCTTGAAATAAAATTCACAATGGAAAACGCAATGTTTGAATTGAAAAACACAACTGAATAATTGGCCAGCTGACATATCGGAAAACTTAGCAACTGCTTTAAAAAACTTTACTGAAGACTTTTTCTCGAATATTATTTTTCTGTTTCACATCTTACTATAAGATCTGTTGGCTCAGCCTCTCCCCTTTCACCACCCGCTTTCTATCTCTCTCTCTATTTCTCTCTCTCTCTCTCTCCTTGCATTTGCTTCACTTTAGCCTCATGTTTATTCAGCTCTTCATCGCGCACAACTGAAGATTTACATGAGCAAAAAATAAATGTAAACAAATTTGTGCCATTAACAAAATTAAGGCGAACACATTCAAGAGCTGCTGATTAAAACTAGAGATTGCCCGACTACGAAATACTACTTACATGATTAACTAAACAAAAAAAGCAGAGTTTTCTCACTTAATCCCAAAAAAAAAAACCAACTAAAAGTTAATTAAAATAGTTGAGTAAAGGTGCAGCGACTGTTGGCGACTGAAAAAGTTTTTTTTATGCATTACATATGCTCTTTATACATATCTGATAAATCTGATATATTAAAGCACCTTTGCCAGTTAAATATATAGCAATTTTAGCATTAGCTGCTTCGGGTTTCCCCAATAAGACACCCTTTATGCCGCAATTTGTGTGTAATTTATAGGATATCTCAGGCTTATAGATCTGTCAGATTCAGAGAAATGTTGGCTGATATTTATGTGATACATAATATAATCGTTTTATAGTTCATCGCTTTGGATGGAAAATGCGGGTAGAAAGTTTAATAAAAGTATTCAAGATTCTCACCAAAAGACTACAAGCTGGTATATTTTATTATATTTTCTTTATTTTTATTTAATATAGTATGAATAAAGTATAGATTCTATAACAAATCTTATAACAATGAGCTTAAATGAAGCAAAGTAAGTAAAAATACACGTATTTTTTACGAAGTCATATAAGTATTATATATGTGAATGTGTGTGTGTGTATATGCATGGGCGAGTGTCTGTTAGTGTGTGCTTGCATGTATGTATGCAATTATGTATGTATGTATGCATGCATGTTTGTTTTCTAATACCAAACGCAATCCTTACTATGCGCCTGGGCTGAAAATTTTTATACAACGAATTTTTACCAAGTGCTCTCCTCCTCGATTCTCAAGAATTCAAGTAGGCCTTGCTGCCAACGGCCTGTGGAGGAGCATAAGGCGGCGTAGGAGGAGGCGGAGCGGGTAAGTTAATATGTATGTAGATGTTTGTATGTATGTAGATGTTTGTATGTATGTAGATGTTTGTATGTATGTAGATGTTTGTATGTATGTATGTAGATGTATGTATGTATGTATGTAGATGTATGTATGTATGTATGTATGTATGTATGTATGTATGTATGTATGTATGTATGTATGTATGTATGTATGTATGTATGTATATATGTATGTATGTATGTATGTATGTATGTATGTATGTATGTATGTATGTATGTATTATGTATGTATGTGTGTATTTATGTATGTATGTATGTATGTATTTATTTATGTATGTATGTATGTATGTATGTATATATGTATGTATGTATGCATGTATGTATGTATGTATGAGTGTACATGTGTATGTGTGTGTGTGTGTTTGCATGTGTGCATGTATGTAGGTATCCGGGCATGCATTCATACATGTCCGCATGTATGCATGTCAGCATACATGCAATACAAACATGCATACATACATGCAGTACAAACAGACATATATATAGATAATTGCCAACTTAATAGTGCACCCAACAAATCTATAAATAGCACTCTTTTTTTTAATGTCACAAACAAAACGTTTCACTTGAGATGCATATAGCCCGTTTGGCTCTCTAAAGTGCAGGGTATTCGAGATCGCAGCATGTGTCTGCCACAAGGGTCAGCGGGAATTGCATTTTAGTAATATATTATTTTGTTTTATGTTTCTGGCAGGCTTTATGAACATGTGTTAGGCGTTGACTTTTTATAAACAAAAGAAACGACAGCAACAAATAGCTAGCGTAGTGTCGGGGCAGGGCCAGGGGCAGGCATTGCAAATTGTGTTCATGTGGCACATTTAACTAAACAAAAAGTTGCTCTTTGCGGGAACTTTTAATACAAATGCAACAAATTAATTAAAGCTGCCACAAAATGAATGAAAAGCAAATAGCATTGAAAATTTCACAGCTCTTGTTGCAGTTGCAGTTGCTGTTAAATAATGCATGCACCACTTTATCTGAAATTAAGATTGATTGAAGTATACAAGTTTTATGTGCCACTCTTTCCCAATTCCTATAAATTTTTAGCAACGTGTTTGACAGATTGCTGAGCAATTGAAATGGGTTTTATTGAAACATGCTGAAGGGGCTTAAAATTGCCATCAAAGGCCTGGCATTGTACACCAAATAGCTTTACAATCGCAAGCTTTTAAGAAATATAGCATGCATAAATTGGAAGGCATTAAAATATTAGAACTAAATGCGCGTTGACCCATCTGTTTCAATACATAATAAAATACATTATTTTTTACTTTTCTGTATTAAAATAATTTGTAGTTAAAAAAAACAAGCTTCTCTGAACCAGCTCGCAGCGCCATCTATCGGGCTCAAGCGCCAGAAACCTCGAGCCCAGATCTTACATTTATTTTCTTACTCTGAACCGAATCTTAAGTCATGCCTCGAAAAGAAACGAATCAAAACCCTAACAAGAAATGTTCTTCTTAGCAAAAATTTATGCAAATTTGATAGCTGCCAGTGTTGGGTAAAGATCATATAAGGTGTTAAGCTTTTATATGAAATATTCAAATTGTGTCAATAATATTCAGGAAATGTATAAAAAAATGTTTAATCTAAAACTGTGATGTGGAATATGGAAGAGCACTTTCGCGAGCCGAGCCTATAGGCAGGAAGCATTTGCATTTGCAGACCTGTTTATAAAAGCTTGGCTTCTCTAAAATGCTCAGCTTGCTTTTTTTTTTATCACGCGTTTCTTTCCGAAACTTCTGCTAAAATCATTCGAAAATTGAATTCTCGACGAATAAATAGAGAGAAATTCAGCTTCGACTGTTTTTGCCGTTGCCTTCCGGTGGCTGCCACAAGCAGGTGGATGGGGGGGAGGCAGGTCGGTCTGACGCATAAATATGCATATGCTCCACAAACATTTGCCAAGTTGCACCACCCCAACCCCTCTCCCTACCACCCCCACATAGAAGTTCAGCCGAAATTCATGCGAAAGCTGCTGACATTTGGAAATAAATGCAGCGTCAGTGAAATATTTCGCATGCATACAAATCGCGACGCGGCGCGTTGCGTTGTGATAAATATACAAATTCCCGCGTTGCTGCCACAGTTAGACAACGTTTAATTGAGTCAACAGGCGGAGCAGGAGGCGGAACGGGAGGAGCTGTGTGTGTGTGTGTGTGTGGAGGAGGAGGAGTCATCAAATTAACGCTGGCAACGGGCACAGCTCGCAAGGCGAACGCGAGCACATTAAAAACTAATTTATGGATTTGCGAAAAGCCAAACTTGCGATGATTTATGCAAGCAACCAACCAAACCCCAAATCCCAGACCCTTAGACCCAACCCGAAACCCTCTACTTACAGCACTTGTGTGTCCTGCGGCAGCTGTGGCAGCACTTTGAGTCGGGCGCGAATGCAGCGCACGGTGCGCGCGAGGCACGTGCAGCCGGCGGGACAGTGCACCCACTGGCCGGCTGTCAGCTGTAGAAGGCTGGCCAGGCACAGGCAGAGCACAGTCAGCGGCCAGAGCGAGTGCATCATGCTGATCAACCGAGCTGCTTGGAGCGTAACTCAAAACTGTCGTCGGGCAGGCAATTAAAATTGCCGCAGCGATAAAAACGGGCCAGGCGGAAGCTGAGGCAGCGTCTAGTTGCACGATACAGAATCCACTTAATTCTGGTCACTTATCTGGACGCGGACTTGCTCCAGTCGCACGCTCAGTTTCGTACGATAAGTCTGTGCTCGTATCGCAAATAGTTACACTATATTTATCAATTTTTTCGGAAACTTGATTTGAATTTTTTTGAATATTTCCGTTAAAAAGTAGAACGTTAAAACGCGCGCCTTGCAACTGCACGCGCCAAATGCCGACGAGCATCTGAAACGGACAAATGAACCGATTCCGTTTTGCCAGAACCGAAACCGTTACCGAACCGAACAGTTGGCAGCGGCAGCGGCAGCGGCAGAGGCAGCAACAGCAACAGCAGCCATGGCCGAGCAGCTGCAGCCGAACCCGATTTCTGGCAGCAGCTGCTGCCGTTGCCGTCGCCGTCGCCGTGGCCGCCGGATGCAGTTTGTGATAACATTTTCCTGAGGCGCATAGCTCAAGAGTCTTTTGATTTGCTCATGTGATTCCAGGGTGTGCGTGTGTGTTGTTTATGCGCTCCAAATAAGCTGATATGTAACTAAACACGTTTAACGGAGCTTTAGTCAAGGCCAACAGAAGCACTCGGATTGGAATCCTACGCGCAAAGCGATTAGAAACATGGCAGCGCGATGGCCACTCGATTTTTTCCAAATGTGCACACTAGAGTGTGCTAACCGGTAGTGCCAGACTGGAAGCTACCCTGTAGCCAGCTAGCATCAATTCATTCCATGCATACATACACAAGAATTCACATACACACAAGCTGGCAGCTTGGTCGTGCTTTTTCCCTGTAGAAACTGCAGTCTTGAATAACCTAGCTGTTTTAAGTCCGATTCCCAAGAGATTTTCAGCTTCTACATATATTTATCTAATTCCAAAGAAAAAACACTATCAATTTTGAGGGGAACGCTGGAAGTTATCCAAAAAATGGAATATTCTTAAGCTGTGTAAGCTATACAATCACCAGCATAGCAAGTTTGGTGTATCTAGCTCTTATAATTCTCGAGTTATGCTTCAAAAACAACAAAAGTAATCAAATGTGGAAGACAAAATACGAGAATATAAACTTCAAATTCCATGTAACCAGCTTTTATAGGTTCAGAGATCGTCGCGTTTCAGCGACATATGTCTATACTTTATGGGGTTGTATAGGTATACAAATACATACATAGAAAGAAGATGCTCTTCTTAACCCTTTTTTCAATGCGCTTAGGGTATAGCAACAACATCAAACATGCAACCAATAAAGTACAAAATGTTTGCTGCTGCTGGACTAGAAGCTACCCTGTAACACAACATGAGCATAGCCAGAGTGTAAAAGTATTTATTGACGGTAAGAAATTTCACTTGCTTTAAAAAAAAGTCTAGCACAAATTGTGCATTAAATGTAAGATAACTAGCTAGCTATTATATCCCAAACAGCTTTTAAAAGGGTATACAAAAAGAAGCATACGCCACGTTGAACTTCAGAGTTGCTGCCAGTGCAGCCCATAAAATGTTTTGCGCTGCTCATTTTTAATGCAACGCTGAGAGTAGCACAAAAGTTGAAAAAGGGAGATAGAGCGAGAGAGTGAAAGAGAGAGAGGGAGAAGGAGTGTGCAGTTTGTGCACATTTGTGTGCACTCCATTTGGGCCTGTCGAACTTGTCGCTTTGGTGATAAGACGCGGAATCAAATTTAAAAGCTATCAATTTGATATTAGTTGAGGGAACAGCGCGTTGTGGGAACGCTTGCGAGATTTAAGCGCGTGCCAGGATGCAGCTGCAAATCCTTTCCAGTTGTTGTTCTTATGCATATTTGTTGTGCTTCTTGTTGCTGTTGTTGTTGTTGGCAACATATGAGCCCCCCAGCTTATAATGCCCGAGTTTCAATTTTTTTACTGCTGCTTGCCGTTAAAGTTTTGAAATCAATTTACAGATGATTTATTATGTTGCGAGGCTATGTGGAGAAAGGGGGAGTCCTGCTGCCATTGCTGCATGCGACAACAGCGGACGTTGATGAATGCCGCCGTGTATTGTTGGGCTGTCAGTTTTGATCAAAATTCGTTTCGGGGCATCGAATTGCAGGTGAAGTGGAAAATTTGCAAGTTATGCGACAGCTCCCCCCTCCTTTTTTTAGCTCTGCTGTTGGCGGCACAGGCAGCAGATAGCGCGTCGGTGATTTGGCAGCGGAATTCAGTAAATTGACTGCACGGCAATGCGCGAGCTGCTGTGGGAATTGCTGCAGCTGACTGACTGCAGATAGACAGCAATTGTGGAGCAAAAAGTGCCTTGTGCAAAATTCGCATCAAATACCATCAAATTCGGCTATAAATTTTAAATTACAAGAATACCGCAATACATATAGAAGCAATTCAGACCTAACATTTCGTGCAATGCCTGTATAATTTACTCGATTCGGCTGCAATTTCAAAAACCCAACGACACAAAGAAATCATAGCATTCAAAAAGTAACTGCTAGTTCATAAACTGGCTCGTTCACAATAGCAGCACTTCAAATTTGCTTGGCGCCACCAATAAATCAAATATGGCGCTCATGCGCAGTGCACAAACATTGTCTTAGGAACAGCTGATTGTCAATGCTGTTATCGATAGTACACAAAACGATAAGTAATATATTGAAGCATGAATATGAGTAAAGTTTTAAACAGAAATCAGGCAAATATAAAGAAAATTAATGCAATATACCTGAACTGAAATAATAAGTGCACGAAATTAATTCTATGCCTTGTTTTGGAACAATTTTATGCTGATCAAAGCGCGTTTTGCAACACTGCAGCAACAGCGGTCGACACTGACAATTGAACGGCGGCAATCAAAATAGAAAGAAAACCCAACTGGAAAGCATTAAAGAAACAGGATTTTCAATACGTATGTGTTCTTTGCTATGTCCAAGCGCAACAATATAACCTACGTGAAGCCACAGGAACCCAGTTTTTTGGCCAAACTCAAGGCGGAAATCGGCTACAAGGAGGGCCCCACCGTCGATACAAAGGTAAGCTATTGCCGCTGCCGTTGACGCTGGGCCAAAACAAAGTGCCTCGCTCATGCTCAGCTTTGTTGCAAATAAAAACAGCGCCAGAAAGTCGAGGAACGCGACCAGGACCAGGACGACTACGATTCCAGTGAGGAGCGGCCCGAGCGTGAGGACGAAAAGCCACAGATTGTGGTCCTAACGAGTGGGGATCTTACGGCTGACGAGGTGGCCCTCGAGCAGCAGCGCATAGCGAAAGGTATGCACACACATACACACACACACGTACACGTGCTGTATATTTGTATGCGTATATATTTTGTGAGTGTGCAGTTGTATGTGTGTATGCGTGTCGGTGTGTGCGTAGGTAGGATGTAGTTATCGTCTGTGGCAGTTTGGCTTTCAGTTCAGTTGAGTCAGAATCGAGCGTCGGTCGCGCGGTCGCTTCCACGCTTCTTTCACGCTGCCACTTTCTGCCCTATACTACACTGTGTATGTACATACATATAAATACATACATATATATATATGTATATATTTGTTCGTGTGTGTGTTGTCTGTCTGTCTGTGTTTGTTTCTTTGCGCGCGTGTGTTTGTGTGTTTTTGCAATCGAAATTTTGAAAATTTATATGAAACATAAACAAAATGCAAACGAAATACGCAAAAGTGCAGCTAGCCGTACGACAAATAATGCCGCGCTCTACATTTTAAAAATTTGCGGGCATTTCGAAGTGTTTGAAATTTATTTTTCAACTCGCTTTTCGATTTCTGTTTGTGTTGTGTGCAAAAATGATTGTTGCATTTTCCAACAATGCACCTCGTCTTTTGTTTTTGCTCAATGAAAAATTCGTTTTCATGCCCAACTTCAATTCTAACCTCGAAAATGTGTCTTATTCGTGGGAAGGGGGAAGGGGAAGTTTTAAGTTCTGTGTGCCACGCCCGCAACGCAACGCACCGCCCACTGGCGTCTCTATGGCAGCAGTTCCAAGTTCCGTTCCAAACGCCCTTTCCTTTGGCTTCGATTATTGCAATTAGTGTGGCACTGCCAGCGGAGCACCCTCATGCACACTAATACACAGGCCAGCGCACACACACACACACACATACATGTGCATATACAGCTGGCGTAAAGCATACACACTGACATTTTCATTGGGGCTCCGCTAAAGCGGAGCATATGATGAAAATCATAGCCAAAGCGGAGCACACGATAAAGCAGCCGGCCAGAGAAGTTAACAAATAACGGCGACCCACAGCCGCCGTCGCCGTCGCTGCCATCGCAAAGCCAGCAACAGCTGCCGCTCTGCTGCTGTTGCCGTCGCCATCGTCGTCATCAACCCGCCGCCACCGACACCGCTGCTGCTGCTGCTGCTGCTGCCGCTGCTGTCAGAAGGCCCGCGCAGAAAATCGGGTGAAAACGTGCGAAAGAATGAACGAAGCAGCAAAACGGGAGAGACAATGATGAACGAAACAGGCGAACAAAAAGAGCACGGCAAGTGGCTTGACGACGATATACATATGTATGTGTGAATGTATGTGTATGGTCGAAAAGGGGGCAGCGTGGTGTGCGGCGGCGGCGGCAGCGGCAGCGGTAGCCACTGTCTTCTGTCTGTCCGGTGGAGCACTGCAAAGCGTTAAGCCGAGGGGATGAGGAGCTGTGGGAGGCGGTGGTGCGGAGGTCGGGACGATGCGTTGCAAAACTAGGAAAACGCTTGCAACGGGCGAGAAATAACTAAAATCTTTTCTATCTCATTTGTGGGCGGGCGCTGGCGGAATGGGGCGTGTGTGTTCTTACTGTTGCTGCTGTTGTTGTTGCATGTGGGGGCGGTTACAGCAAGGAGTTGGGCACTTGCAGCTGCCCGTGTGGCACAGTTATGCGTGTTGAGCTCCAAATGAGTTTTATGCTATTTTATGGGCTTTTATTATTTTGTTTTTTTTTTTTTGTTTTTGGCTAATGACCAACTATTCGCATTGCAGAAGAAGCTGAAAGGCCCGCGGATTTAAACCAACCCATTGTATTTAAGCAGCGTGTCAAGCAGCCCAAAATCCAGCCGGAGAATACTGAGAAAACTGAGAAATCCCCGAAAGCAAAGGATAAGCGCAAAAAGTCCAAGCCGAACAGCAAGCTGTCATTCAACGAGGACGAGGAGGACGCCGAAGCAGTCGAGGATTGAAGCTCATAAAATATCTGTTATCCGTCAATTCGATTTGCCGTATCTTTTCAACCGGGCAGCCTCTTTGTATG